CCTGCCTTTTCTACTGATTCCAACATCTGCAGCATCTGTGGAAATGGTCCTGCTGCATTGCCTCTGGATGATGATATTTTCCTACTTACTCGTGTCTCATAGCATTCTTTATTGTATATAAGACACTGTGTTTAAAATAACTGCAGAGAGTGGAATAAGTTTTGCTTTTCCCTACAGAGGTTACATATTCCCAGTCAAGAACAGGAAATTAATCACTTCTACCCAATGAGGGGTTGAGTTGCAATGAAGTTCTGTTGCAACCTCAGGAGTCTTCTGTTGTGTTTTGAAAGCTAAACCTACTCTATTTCTGTTACCAGTTTCTCCCTCTAGCAGCTGTTCAGACTCTAAACACTGAGGGATTACAAAGATCTCTCACGCGCATGCACACTCTCTCTCCAGTATAGCCTTTTGGTCTTCTGCATTACTGAACATTTAGCAAAAGTTTCATTCGAGAAATTGAGGAGAACTAGCTCTGCATCTGATGGTTCTACAAATTCTGGTCCATCACAGCAGCATGAACATCTTTGCATATTTGCAAATTATGAAACTATGTATTTCTGAATTTCAAATTAACTCAGCAAGATTTCTCTGCTTGGCAGATCCAAGTCTCAGTCCATCCATGCCCAGATTTAGCGTCTCTGCACACTTAGAAGTGTTCCTATCAGACATTCGGTTCTTGTAGTTGTCTTTGTAAAAGCAGCTCTCCAGTTTTTAGATAGGTAAGTAGGTAGATAGGTAAGTAGGTAGATAGATAGATAGATAAGATAAGATAAATAGAAGGTAGGTAGAGAGTAGAGACAAAGAGAGAGAGAGAGAGAGAGAGAGACTATTCATTTTGGCCAGTTGCTATGGGAAAATATGACTTCTACAATCTGACTGAAAGTGGAATTCACATAAAATGTTTCTGAAAACAGTATGGAGGGTAGGGTTCTAAAGCTGACAGAAAAAATATTTTTTTGGAGAAAATAAAATTTACCAGGACTAGGGTCTCGGGTGTAGAATGACCCCTTGTGTGGAGAAATTATAAACACTGGAGTTCTGATGGTAAATAATAAATGATCAAATAGTAGGTAAAAACACGCGTCCTTGTGTGACAGCCTGGAGGACGACACGTTTGCACCTTGGCCCCTTTCTCTTGCAGTCTGCTCATGTCCCACCCCGCCACCCCGTCAGATGACTTCAGGTCGGCCTTCTTATCTTCTGCCATTCCAAGACTCACTCCTGCTGACCAGTAAATGTGCAATTTTAGGAAACATTCTCTTCAAAGGACAACACAAGCCCAAAGGGATTCAAAAGACCCGGATACTAGGTGAATTTCAACAGAGAGAGTCATTTCTCAAGAGTTCGGGAAATCTCTTCAGGCTTCATACATATGTGTCACTACCACAAACAAGTGCTTATCATGTCCTGAATGTTTTACATACATTACCTCACTGACAAAGGAAGAAATTGAAATTTATACAGAACTTCAATAGCTTTCTCAGAGTTACGCAATTAATAGAATGGCAAAGAATTCAATCCCAGGTCCTTCTGATTCCAAAGCCTGTGCTTTTAATCATTGCTCTCTTCTATTCCAAAATTCGGACTAGTAAGTTGATAACCGAACACAACATACTGTTAGTCTTGGTTCAAAGGAGGAAAAGAGAAGAGAAAGTTATAATTAACTTCTTGTACTTTCTTTCTGCTGCTATAATCCCTGAACGCTGTTTCAAGGCTGCGGTGGCCACTGTTTCTTCTAAGGATGCTCTAGAAAGAAGAGAAAAGGAAGCTTTTCTTCTACCCGTATCTCACTCTTCAAAGAAAGAGGTCACAGTATGTCATTGCTCTGATTCTAATCTCCTTTTTTCCTATCATTTCCTTTTTTTAGTGTAACCTGCTGCTATTTATTCCTGTTGCCTTTGGCTTCAAGATGACACTTTCCTTTTTAAGCCAATTTTGTTCTGCTATTTATACATTGTTTTCATGGTGTTTATTTTGAAATACTTCAGTATTATTAGTGTGTGTAAACACACTTATCTTACTCTGCAATGACACTTCAAGGTGGCTTTTTTAGCATAAGGAAAGTTATAGCAATTATTTATCTGAGAAATTGCTATGTTTATGATGTGTATTAGGTGGAAAGAGAGGACCTAGCACTCTTTGGTGTATGAGATCTAAAAAATTGCAAGCCTAATTAACTATGCCAAGGCTAGTAAAGCCCTATGGTCCATGGCCTAAATCTGGTGGACCTGCTGATTTTGTAAATAAAATGTTACTGCAACATGATGACCCTAATTTGTTTACCTCTTGTCTACAGCTGCTTACGTAATACAACAGAGAGCTAACTGCCACAGAGACCACGTGGTCCACAAAGCCAAATAGTTGCTCTCTGACCGTTAGAGACATTTGCCCACCTTTGAGTTACACTGTCAGTCGAGCTGCATCTTCTTATTTTTATCCTTCATTCTGGTTTCCTTACTACCCTGGAAAACCACTACCAGGTACGCTGGGGTTTTGTGATGATCGCACCTTTAGTTTTGGCCCCAAGTTCTCTAAAGATTAAATCACTGTTAGCTACTGCCGTAATCTAATAGATGGGGTTGCAAAGCCCTTGGTATAAGTGCATTTTGTGTGTTCTAACTCCAAGTAATGACTTAGGAACCCAAGGCCTTTCCATCGAGTGGCTTAGTCACCTTTAACACGTTTTCCAAGGTGGTCAACGTAGAGAAAAGATCATGGACAGTAGTACCCGGGGCCACCGGTCGCTTTTACCCAGATTCCAGGGGTGAAAACTCAGTCATGTGCCTCAGTTAACTGCAAGGGAGGTTGGGAAATATAGACTAGCTGTGCCCTGGAGAGAGAGAAAATGAACTTGGTAAAAAGCCAGCCATTGTCTACCACAGAGACCTTCTTCAGATAGAATTTGTAGGGCACAAGACTTAAAATGTGGTGGGCTAAGAGAAAGGAGGAATGTATCTTCTAAGCTTTTAATATGGAAACCACGTGGACGGCTATGAGTCTATGAGTGTCAGGAATACAGATCTCCTTCAAGACAGGGGTGGGGAGGAGAATAGTAAGAAAACGGAGTGATTTTAAAAATACCTTAGGCCTATATGGAGGTGTGTAGCTTGTGTTTTGGAAATATAGGCGATATGGCAAAACTTGAGAAATAACCTAAAGAAGTGGATCTTGAATTTTCTCAAAACATACTCAGTAAGTGGCAGTAAAGGTCATGACACTGACTTAGAACACTACCTAAAGAGTTAACGATTCATAGCTACACACAAAAGGAACACTGCACACAGCATGTCTGCCTTAGTACAAAGCAACAGAGACACACGTAAGTAAAGTATCCTTTGCCTTCAAGTAGCTCACAATCGGGTCAACACAGCCAAGGAAATCATGCACTACCTATTGTGTGGTAAAAAGCTACACAATTTTCATAGTACGAAACGGGAGCAGAGAGGAAGGACAAGACTTTCGGTGAATGCATCGACGAATGAATGACAGCTCCACATATACTGCACAAACAGCTTATTATTCCTTGGTGCCGTTTCTCAAGTCTTCTCTCACACATAGTTGGCAAATTCTCCTCTAACTACACAGGGAAGTCTACTGCCCCCACGCCAACACATTTACCTTTATTAAATGTTTACTTTGTGGAAGGCAATTCTCCAAAATCGATGGATTATTTCCAAACACAGAAGAGAAAACTGGGGGAACAGCGATATTAGCCAGCTTGCTATGGAAAACCTAGATCTGTCTCGTCTTCTACCAGACCACAGTCACTGCCTTTGTCCTTCTTGCAGAATAATTAGAAATAGCAGTAAGGCTTGCTTATTGGTTATCTGCTACTTAACAGGAACATGCAAGCTGGTGCTATGGGTTTAAGTAGACAGCTATTATTTGACAGCAAATTACGAACATACTCTCAGCTTTTGTTAGCAGTCCAGCATGTAAACACAACTGAGTAGCTGCTATTGGAAAATAGTCCATTTTGAGAAATTTACCAAACACTGATAAAATTAGAGAATTTTTAAAGCAACACAGTTTCTAAAATGTACATACATAATTGGTGAGTATGAAAGGTAAGGTAGATTTTGAATGGCATTAGCTACCTGCTACTTAGCAGCAACGTCATAATTATAGCGAGACACCAATCTTTCTAGATAGTTGAAAACATGCAAATCTACAAATAATTTCATCCTTTTTAACACTTATTTTTTTAAAGTGTATGCCATTAGTATGTATTAACTAGACTTATGGTCAATGTATACCATGTCTGCATACTTTATGGTCACGGTGTATAATTACATGGGTTCTCTTTTGCTTCTGTGTGTGTATGTGTGTGTGTCTTTTTCTCTTCTCTGCCTTCACATTTATGCAAAAAAGACACACACATCAGAAATAAATACAAAACCCTTACAGTCTTCATGAAAGGTGATATGCATGTTTAATTTACTTTTTAGAGTTTATATTTTCTGAACTTTTATGAGAGCATGAATCACTTATACAATAATGAAACTTTGTTTTGAAAAAACAAATTCAGAAATTGTTTTAACAAAATAAATAGAAAATATAATTAAATATATGAGAACAGGTAATAAAAGTAATCAGAGTACAGCATGTCTTAATAAAGTCAGCAGCTGGGGTAGAAATTACTATCCCAAGGTTGCCAAAGAAACTGAACATAGCTTATGAATTGCTGTGCTCAGAGAGGATATGAAACAGAATAGCAGCAATGCCCTTGCAATATTGCCTGCAATATATAAAATCAGTTTTGTTTCTTGGGCATCTGGTTATAGACAGAATATTTCAGACGTGCTAAGTCAACTTTATTTAAGTTAAATTATGATCAACAAGATAAATATTTTAACAATTATTTATTTTTTAGAAGATTTACATGCAAATCCATCTTGTGGTATGGAGCATGTCTTCCTTCGGAGTATTATTTCAAATTCCTTCAATGAAAAATAATAGCTATAATGTAAGATGACCATCGGATGTGATCCAGCACTGGATCACTTTGCCATCTCATTGGAAATTTTAGAGAGTAAATTTTTTTTCACAATTGCAACTTTTGCTTGAGCATCTTGAAGTCTTTCGTAGGCTTTCTGAAAGATGATCATATCAGTAACAAATTTTTCTTCACAGTGTCTTTTATATATATCGTGAACCCTAAGGAAAAAGAGAAAGTCAATAGAATGAGATACTTTTAAATGACTAAAACCAAAGAAATCAGTCAGATTAGATATCTTTAAAGTAGATATACACAAGTGGGAAAAAAACAGAGCTCCATTTATGCAGTTCTGTTATATCATTGGATGATATTCCTATTAGACTAACTGGACATTCTCACAAACCATGGCTTAGATTCCCAAAGAGGCATCTATCCCACCCTAGACATTCAACATCTAACACCTTAAGCAGCTAAGCATCTAAACACGTCATAATTTGTATCCCAGCCTCACTAAATCCAAGCTTCTTCTCAGACACTGTCATGGACTGAATGTAGCCTCCAAGTCCATATGTTGAAGTCCTAACCCCTAGTAACTTCGAATGTGACTGTTTAAAGACAGGGCCTTTAACAGGTAACAGGCAATGAAGGCTAACTGAGATGATAGGAACGGGTCCAAATGTGATATGATTGGGGTCCTTACAAGAAGAGGAGAGATACCAGGAATGTGAGACCACAGAAGACAGGCCACCGAGGACACAACAAGGAGGCTGCCATAGCAAGTCAAGGGGCGAAGTGACCAAAGAAACTCGCCTGCTGGTGCTTTTGTCTTGGACTTCCAGCCTCTACAACAGTAAGAAGTTCACTTCTGTTGTTGAAGCTACTCAGTCTGTGGTATTTTGTTATGGCAGCCCTAGTAGATTAATAGTCTCCAGACCTAAGTAATGTCATTTATCCTTATTTATTTGATTACAAAAAGCGGCAACAGCATAAAGTTATGCATTGTAATTCTTGGTGCTATCCCTAGGTGCTGGAAATACAAATGAAACGGTGAAGAGCTTGTAGAAAGTTAAGAGAAGTAAACGTATATGAAAACATAAATGAAATGTTGCGGTCATAATGAAAGCATTATGTAACAAGACAGAGTGAGACAACAAATGAGTAAAACAATAATAAACGTGGCCTAGAGAGGAAGAAGAGGAACTAGAAGAAAGGGTTCAGAGGTAAAATAACCCTTGCGCCTTGGAAGGTATGTATTCTCGAGGCAGAAAGTGGGGGAAGAGCATTTTGTTCCAGATATTTTTAAAGTGTGAACAACCCCAGGGCAGAGAGGGTAGCAGATGGGCCTGCTCCGAGAACTGACATTGCTTTAGCTGTCATGCAGTTCTGGAAAGGAGAACAGATGAGCAGATAGGCCTGGATGAGCAAACTTAGGCCAGGTCATAACATCCTTCATGTACACGTAAATGCACTCAGAACCCTGAACTGTGGCGGGAAAGAGAAGCTGCCGTCTACCATATCTGAAACTCACTGACTGTGTGATTTGGGACAAGTTATTCATATTCTTCTATCTCATTTTCTTCATCAGTAGGAAGATGGTGCAACTCATAAGGCTAGTAAAGGATTAAATAAATTGATATATCAAAAAAGCCTTAGAGAAATGACTGGGCACAGTGGATCATGCCTGTAATCTCAGCATTTTAGGAGGCTTAGGCATGAGAATTGCTACTTGGGAGGCTGAGACAAGAAGAATGCTTGAGCCTAGGAGGTCAAGGGTGCACTGATCTGTGATCATGCTACTACACTCCAGTCTGGGTGATAGAGTGAGATGCTGTCTTAAAAAAAAAAAAATTCGGCCGGGCTCAGTGGCTCAGTCTGTGATCCCACACTTTGGGAGGCTGAGGTGAGTGAATTGCCTGAGCCCGTGGGTTCGAGACCCACCTGGGCAACTTGGCGAGACCTCATCTCTACAATAAATCAAAAAAATTAGCCGGGCATGGTAGCGCGTGGCAGTAGTTCCAGCTACTTGGAAGGCTGAGGCAGAAGGATCACCGGAGCCCAGCAGGTCGAGGCTGCGGTGGCCGGGAGCGTGCCACTGCCCTCCAGCCTGGGCGACAGAGTGAGACTCCAACTCAAAAAAAAAAAAAAAAAAAGTTCTTAGAGGAATGCCTGGTATTAATAATGTGTTTTACTGGATGGATAATAGTGGCACTCATTAGAATAAGAATTGTAGAATGAGCAACCAGATGGAAAGAAATATTAGAATTCTGTTTTGGTAATGTTGAGTTTAAAGAGTCTAGTTATTCAAGTGTCCAGAAATTTGAGTATAGAGAAATAATGGTTGTGGTTAAGAATACGGGTAGTAAAGCCATTCTGCTTGGGTTTGAAATTCATCTCTGAAACTTATTGATGGTGTGATTTGGACAAGTTATTTAAGTTCTCTCAGCATTATTTTCTTACTCTTCATAAAAAAGATAATCCAACCAGTAGAGTTTAGTAAGAAGTAGGTAGGCCAATATATTTAAAATCCTTAAGGAGTGCCTTAATCCTTAGGAGACATTTAATAATCATTCAGTGACAGTTAGCTACTAATATTGCATTATGAGAAAACTAGTCATGTCTGGACATGTAGCAGAGTAGAATCCGAGGCAAAGGCACCTTGCAGATGTAATTAAGGATACTAACGGAGCCTAAGAAGTGTATTCAAATAACCCTCCTACAGATAAGAATTATGAACTATGGATAAAATGCAAAGAAAAAAACTATTTTAAAAAATTGACTAGTGAGAAATTGCAATTATCAGCTATATTATTATATTTATGCACATCAACATTAAACAATTGGAAAATAAAATCAAGAAAGCAATTCTACTTACAATGCTATCAGAAAGACATAAACTACTTATACATAAGTTGAACAAAAAATACGCAAGTTCTCTACCTGAAAACAATATAATACTGCTGAAAGAAATTGAAAAAGACATAAATTAATGGAGAGCTATGCCATGTTCAAAGATTGGAAGACAATATTATTAAGATGTCAATTCTTCCTAAATAGATTTATAGATTTAAAGCAATTCCAATTAGTATGCCAAGAGCCTTGTTGGTAGAAATTAACATTTAAATTTGTTTTCTCATATTGGATTTATTTTAAATGTATTAGAGCTAAATGTTTTGAATTTATTAAAATTCAAACTTATAAAGAATGCAAATGTCCTAGAACAACCAAAGCAATCTACGGAAACATAGAACAAAGTTGGAATCTCTGTTTTCCAACCTGCATAACGGTTCACCACAAATGTTTCAGCTAACAAAGACCACCTTACATTCTCTCATATTTTTCATGGGTCACAAGTTCAGGCCCACAGTTGCACTTTCTGCTCAGGTTTTCCCAAGGCTGAGTCAAGGTGTCAGTCAGAGCTGTGGGAGGCACGCAGGTCTGGGGTCCTCTTCCAGGATTTAGAATTCATTTTATTCTGTTTCCATGTGCCCCCTCCATCTTCAAGGCGGCAATGTTGTGTCCAATCCTTCCTCATACTTTGAATCTCTAACTTTCTCTTTTGCATTATAAGGGCTCCTGGGATACATTTGCCTGGATAATTTGGGACAATCCCCTTATTTTAAGGTCAATGAGTTCATACCCTTAATTACAAGTGCGGTCCCCCTTACCAACAAATTATGGGGTGGTAGCTCATCACAGTCATAGCTCTGGGGCTCAAGGAGGGCATGGCATCTATCCTCTTGAGAGCCCTAATTCCGACTAACACAGGGGCCTCACTCCACTTGCTTTTAAAGATTACAAAAATCGTAGAGAGAGATGATTAGCTATTAGCAGGAAAGCGGAAACCCAATCATGAGACAGTAGAATAGGAAATGAGGGTTAAAAACACAATATGTAGAATTTTATAGATATGGACGTAGGAAGCTGAATGAATTAAAGCTTGAAGACCGAAGATTTATCTGGGAAATAGTCCAAGTGGTTTGTTGAGAAGGAGTGACTGTGAGTAGCATTCAGTCAGAAAGCTGTGCAGTCAGTGAAGGTTTAAAATTGTTCTCGTAGGTTACGGGAGGAAGAACAATCAATGGCGAAGCAGCTAAGGTCAGAGCCCATGAAACGGATACTGAGTCATCCACAGGTCAGCGATGTCTTCTAGCCAATTTATCTGAACACAAAAGGTGAAGAAAGACAGTCCCACGGTAGAAGTCGGGGGCGCGATAGAAGGAAAGGACTTTCGAGACGTGGGACCGAATGGACGACCCATCTTCAACTGAAGACCCTATGCTAGAAATGAAGCGTATGGAGGAGGTTCCTTGAGGGATGGGAGCCACGCTCTCTTTGAAGAGTACGTGTGGTGAAAGGAAAAACTGAATTGCAAAGATTGAAATGTTAGCTGTAAGTAAGTATACACCGATTCACAATTCAAGAGGCAGGATGGCTCCAAGTTATGAGAGGGTCTTCATGTCTTCATGTGTCTATGGAAACGGGTTTATGAAAGACAGGTAGGATAAAGTTTGCTGGGATTCAAAACTGTTGGGATTATGTAACCGGAGTGTGGTTCTCATGAATGTGGAAGATAGCCAAGGGGATGGCAGAAGTTGGAGAGAGAAAAAGCTTCATGAATCAAGATATAAAGAACGGGGTGAATGGAGAACGTCATATACGAGGTCAGCTGATGACCACAAAAGGACACGTGGAAGAAGATTTCATTGACCAGTCACTCTGTTTGCAGATGGTCCGTGCTGACTGACACCCTCCCTCAAAACGGGCACCCCGCATTCTGCCCTGAACAGTATCACCCCTTTCTCAGTGTATGGACGAGAACACCTTGGAAAACCCATGCCCAGCTTTCTTCTGATCTACAGATTCTTTCATCTCAAAGTCTCTCTTTAATGCGTGTTAAACTTTATCAACTTTCTAAATTAGGAAATATCACTAGGATAAAACTGCAGCAGACAAGCTTCAATCTAGTATCCGAAAAAAAGAGAATGTGTGAAAGACTTTGGAAGGATTAAAAAAAAATCGCTAGGGCTCCTGTCTAGGGCACCCTTCAGAGTTATCTAATGCCTTTCAGTCTCTCGGAGCGGTTTTGCAACTTTGTCAGTTAAGGAAAACTATGAGTACTGCCAACGAGTCTTGCCTTATGGGCCCCCCCTTTTAATTTTATTCTTTCTCATCCTACATAGGATCAGGGAGCTACGATCTCAGTAATGGACATTAATTA